GTCGAATCTGCAAATTGACCATGGACTCAATGAGTGGGAACCAACGTTCGTTTAGGGGCAACAGGACTGTCCTTCCTGCCGCAGGAACTTCATCAGCTATCAAACCCAAAATTGATGTTTTGGAATCCGTCTCTCTGGATCGATCATGATGTCCGATTCCATCATCTCCATCTATGCACACGTCGGGATGTCAGGTCCACTGCTGCTTCGCAGCAGATGATGTCAAGATCAGAGCCGAAGCAATCGTGACTCAATCGTGCTCGAGTGACCGGTGATGACCTATCGTCGTAACTTCGGACAGTGAGGAGTCCATACATCCAGATAATAGATGTGCAGAGCGATTAAGTATCAAGAGGAAAAATCTCAGGATCGGATACATTCTTCGAAAAGAGATGCGTCTTCTGCGGTATTCCGGAGTGGCGTTCCGGAGAGTTTATCTCAATCGATCTTCTCTGGCACGAAAGGATTTACTCTATCCATTACGCCCGGGATTTCTATTGCGCAGCGTGGATAGAGATCCGATCGTTCTGGCACTCTACAACAGCTCCCACCCCAAGGCTCCTCGAAGAGCGTTCCATATTTCATCCGAGAAAAGAACACCTTGTCATCGATGATCTCTCAAGCGTGACCCTTGATCACGTGGTCGAAAAAAGAAGAAAGCGATGAGCATTTTTCCGATTCGGCCCTGGAAAGGCGGTCGTCGGTCTACCTTGATTTGCCTAATTACGACGAACTTCGAATACCAGGATATGCCAGAGAGCTCACCGATCTCGCTTGGGAGCGGATCAGGACCAAGACGTGCCGAACGACGTTCCTCCTACTCACGAATATGATCTAAACAGGGTTCCCGACACTCCTCCCCCGATACTGATCATCCTTGTATGCCGAAGGCCAAGATTCGGATCCGGTCCGAGGAATCTCCATTGCGCTCCTCCTCTTCTGTTCCGTCTCGTGGAAAAGCGTTCCGTGACAGGAATCGGGAGAAATCGTCTTTTTTCCCCGGCTCAGCGATTTTCCACCGGTAGGAATCGCTCGACCCGCTTGAAACCTCAATCAGTACCGTTCAGTGGCATGAGGAACGTGATCGCGTCGTCAATCGACTTCAAAGATTTCTTTTGGTTCGATGCCGCAAGTAACCAGATGCTCGATCCCCCCATGACTGAATGATGATGGAATCGCAATGAGAACTTGTGATGATCACTGGTAGTGATTCGAGAATAATTCAGCAGGAGCCAGCTGGCATCATACGGAGAATTAAGTCGTTCGACCAGTTTCTCCTTCTGGGCTCGTCAACACAACAGAAGAGTTTGACGACGGTTTTTGCTCCATCCGCGGTGGCGGCGAGATGGTTGCCGCTGTCTTCTCGTTCGGAACTTGCTGATGTTCCTTCACTCCGTCCGCCAGCGGAGGAGGTTACCTGGCGGCGGCAATTTTCCTTTTAATTTTTCCTCTACGATTCGATATATTGAACTTGTAACGACGTGCGGTATTAGTACTGCATTCATCTTTACTTGTGTGAGCTGTTGCTGTGTCGGGCTTTGTTTCATCGCTGCCACCGTGAGCCGTACCTACGCCGGCAGTGCTCGTCTTGGCCTTCGTGATTCTTCGGATTCTCGGAATGGACACGTATTCGGTCGTGGAGGGCTCTGCGAGAAAGGTGCGATACTCTATATTGACTCCTCATTGTCCCTGAATTGACCGTCTTGTCGATTAAGCAGCTTGCTGCTCAATTCTGCGTAGAAGCGCTTACCTGCCGCCTCTGTGGAGAAGACACCTTCTCTGTTTTCGTGGTGATTATCCGTAAGCCTCGAGATGTCTGCTCCAAATCTTCGTGTTTCAATGTTGTAATTACTTTCTTGGAGGCTCGATCCCCTCTTTCCCGGCTCCCAGATCACATAGAGGATCTTCATTGGATGTGCAGTACCCTCAGACTTTTTTGCAGTCGCCGAATCCGTCGGTGACATCTGCATTCCTAGTATTGCGTGCCGGGCTAGCATGGGGGAGGGGGGTCATGGGTCATGGCCCCCGGGGGGACATCCCCCGTATGGAGGTTGGCTCGAAAGAAAACCTCATTCCCTCTCCCTCCTGCCCCGGTGTCGGAGCCGGCGGTCGATGCCTGATTTCCATCGTCTAAAAAGGATTTTCGACCGAAAGCGGTGCCCACGACCTCCGCACTAGAATCCAGGGAGGATGTTCTCAAGGAGGTGGAGAAGGGACACAACTTGACCAAGTCGGTTCATGAGTCTGTACATATACATATGAGCTCCGAGAGGACAGATAGTCTGCCAAGCGAATTGAGTCTTCTCGGAGCGGCTCGGGTGAGAATCGTCTTGATCGATTTCGGGGAAAATCACTCACTCCCGATTGCGTTTGGAGAGGGTATACCCGGATGATCAGCTTTCCGGACTCGGTCCGAGGTTACTGATTTACACGATTGTCTGGATGACGTCTAATAGGTAAATTGGTCGATCGATTGGATGTTCCTGCTTGGTGGATCTCTTCTCTCCCCACGATGCGAAGGGCAACAGAAATTCTCACGGAAGAATCAAGAATCGGGGAATATACTGCATCCTCAAGATGACGGAGTTTGAGTTTCTAAACATTTGTCTGCACGACTCTCTAGAGATCTGAAAAATGACGCTTCAAAGTGAGGAGCGGATCAAGGTCCACGATGCTTTTCGAGTCTCTCTCGATGGTAGCGAGGATCAGCAAGCGACTTGGATGATCGCGGCGTGTGAAACTAAAAGTCAGCTGAGTAAACTATACCGTGAGTTTCGGATTGGTCACCCAGTGAAACTCTGAACTCGAATTCGAATGTCTCTATGTAGGCGAGAGGAATTGACGCGGAAACATCTCTCTCGTGATTGTCAGTCTGATGGAACTGATGTCCAGGGTAGTGGCACGAGGAGATCCGTCTGTGGAAAACTTTCGATTTCGGGTGCGAAGACACAGAAATAGTCTGTCACTGTCAACAAGCGTACCGCCGACAAGTTTCGTCAGTCGCTCAACTACTAGATAGCATCGGAAGAACATTGTTCAAGACAAATACTACAACAGCGTCCAAACTTTCGCGATGATGAGGAGCCGTCGACTTCACGGCTTTTTCGGATGTTGACACTGATGAAAGAGTTTTGTGTTTTCTTTTGTGCTGACGTTGTGAATTCGGGAAAGTCATCAAGATCTTGCCCACAAGATCCCTTTCGTGTATTCGATTTTGCCGTTCTCGTTCTTTCGGGGTGCCGAGTTTCCCCTGTTCCGGACTCTCGGCTGCTTCTTCTCGGACCATCTCGTTTGTTTTCTCCGAAGTTCCTCTTCGAGTCGAGCCCCGCTTCGTGCGAATGTGCGAGTCCATCTGAGGTTTCCGAGAGGGGGGACGGCGAGGGGAAATTTCGGCGATGCGCGAATTTCGTCTTTTGATCTGACTGAAAATTACGTCGGACCTTACATAACGGCGCCTTTCTCATCTCTCCAAATATATCTTCTTCTTGTGTAGCGGCTGCTCACAAAAGCTCACTCCACCCAAGGATTTCGTCAACACGGATTCAGATGCTCCGCTGATCCTATTGTAGTTAACCTCTTCATCAGAGAGGGATTCCGACCGAGTTGAACGCTGGCCATGTCACTTCAGTCCGGTGCGTGCGGCAGTTCCGTTCGTTCGCGTTTCTCTAAACTGCGAAATTTACTCTCTATCGGGACGGATACTCCGATCGTCGGATCCCATTCTACCGTCGCCTCGTGCCGTCTCTTCTTTGTTTCTATCCGGGATGTGTGTCCAACGCTGCCGACTGTGATCATCGAACGATGAAGGTGCGGTTCGAAGTTCGAAGGAGAATCCCGACGGTGAAGTCTTTCAGCTCTTGCCGTACCCCTCGTGCTCCAAGAAAGGAGCGAGACGAGTTGTAGGAACGTGTCTACGGAGTGTTCATCCGACTGAAGTTATAGAGTGTGTCGTCGCATGCTGATCATGGAGCGGGCCGATCGCAATGATTTTCCCCGAGAACTTGTGAATGGTTGTACAGAGGAAACAGGGATGAGTTCCTCGCGTGCTTGCTCGAGAAGTAACCAACGGAGTGAGGACTTCAATCATGAAGCACCTTGGAGTCGGGAAGGCCACGTGGTCACACGGATAGCAACATTGTCAGAAACTATCCGACGAAAAAAAGCGTCATGGGACGATCGATGTGATTCTTTCCGATGTGGAATGATACGTTCCCGAGTAAGGAAAACTCGCTCGAAACGGCTCGGCGGAAGCGTCCAGGAAGAAATTCACCGAACCCTTCATTGCCCCGGGAAATAACAATATCTCCGATAGTGGCTCATCGAATGATGTTTTCGACTGGCCTGCTCGCAATTTTCGAGGAAAAATGTTTGTCTGTCTCGGAGCGCGCGTAGTGGTCGCTGGAAGCCCTTCCGTGTAGAGTTCGGCGTGGCCGACATGACGTTGAGCTGATAGAGGGAAATGCAAGGGCGGCGATGAAGCGTCCGTTTTTGAGCAACCTCACTATTCGTAACACCGCCCTGCTCCGTCCGTTGACGCGAGGGATCGCTTGCATCTGTTCTGGAGGAAAAAAACATCATCCTACCGCGCTCGATGAGCTCTTGATTACAGATAAATGACTCCTTTTTTTCTCGAAACATTAGTTCGGGAACGAATCGAGCCTGTAAATCGTCTGCACTCGACTCGGCCTCAGTATCCAGGAGTGTTGCAGAATCGATCATTACTCATCGGTTGCGATTCCTCTCCTTCCTGGATGTTCGGGCTGATCGATGTGCTTCCCTGAACCTGACGATGGTCTCGGATATTCATAAGTCCGTCCCATGTGAATTCCTTTTCCGATTCGTGATAATCTTTCTTCCCCAGAAGAGTTGGAGGAAAACCGGAGACGAGGACCTCCGAGCCCACACAAGGGCGAGCTCCGTTTCCCCAGAACAGACCCATTCCAGAGGAGAACAATGTGTTCGGGGGATAAGTCTAATGTTTTCTAATCATCTCATTGCAGTTCCCCCGCTACAACGGAAAGAGCGGCGCCGCCATCGAACCAGTATCGTATACTACAGCCTACAACAATAACGAAAACGGTGACGCTCGCGTGGGTCACGTGAATGAGGCATTCGTCGAGTCGAACAATGCCATCAATCAGGAGGGCGGCAAGATCCCTCTTGCGAGGCTCAATTCAGACCCGGAGTCGATGCGCCGGACACAGAAGCTCGCCGTGGACGTAGAGCGCCTCCGAGTCACATATGGATACGGCAGCCGTGCTGTGGAAGTTCTAAAAGGGATTGATCTCACTCTGCCCGAAGGGAAAATGTAATTATCCTCTCAATTTCTCAATCTTCATAAGCCAAGCTTCCGTTGGCAATATTTAGGGGTAGGGTCTATATTCAGTTTTCCCCGGACCGGAAACAAAGATTGAGCGGCGATTTCAAGCAGATCCCGAGATGGGAGGGTCGCTTCTGGTCCCCGCAGCCTTCTTCGCTTTGACAGCTCGCCCAGAGAAGGCGTGAAGTGTCACGTTAACCTCCCTAGGTGACGACGTCATTGAAGCGTTACGCGGGTGGGTGGAGCTGAGTGATCTTGGCTCGTTAGATTCTCGCGCTGCTTCTTCGAATTTCTCTCAAAGTTTTGTCGACTGATAGACTTCACTGAACGGAGCTTATGATCCGCCGACCCCGAACCGTCGCCCATTATGTGAGCTTTCGTTCCGAACCCCAGGTGCGGATAGACTCATCCTGCCCTCTTCCCAGAGTGTTCCGTCGATTCATTTGATCAATTTATTACGGTCCTGTTTATGGGATCCCATCAAGCTCAACTGAGGCAACAACCTAGCTCGTTGAGGTGTTGTCTAATAGAGGCGCAATAAATTCAGGAGCAGGACTCAATAAGGGCCAACAAGGTTCCGCCGTTGGAATGTAAGGCCCGGGAGGAGTTACTGTGAATAAGCGGGACGATTTAGGGAGCGAGCTTCCCATCCAGTCTATCCCAGGGTACGGCACTTTCGATACGGGAAGGATGTTCCCGGGCTGACCCTCGGGTGCACATCCGCAGCTCCAAACGTCCAGGGATGAGAACTGGACTTCGATTGCTAACGGAATCTTCTGGGAAATCCCGGTATAGCGCGGTATAAAATCGAAAGGAACGAACGGTGATCGAGGTTTCCAGTGTCAGGTGTTTCGAATTTGACTCTCTATTCCGCTCCGGGGGCTCCTCCTACCAACGCTCCTGCCCCGCTGCCTCATCCGCCCCGGCCATGATGGGGTCTACTACCCCATTTTAGGCTTCGTTTCATTCCTACATTGAGCCTCGATCCTCTGAACGATCCCAGGAGAGAAAGCCGTCCCAAAGCTCATCAGGCCCTGATCAAAGAAATGGTTTCTTCACCCGCCATTTCTTTTTGTTTGAATTCACGCTGTCTCTGTCCCGAGTTTCTCCCGTTCGCTCCTCGGTGAGGATATAGCCTTCGGAATATTCTCCGGTTCGCACCGGAACGTTACTGAGAATTCTGTTCCGGTTTGTGTTATTCGGAGTTCGGTGTTCGGTTCGCCCTTGGCTGGGAGCTGCTAATGGTGCTCAAAAGGAAGCGTCTAGACTGATAGGATTCTTCACGCAACTCGGGAGAATCGAGAAAACTATTCACGCCTATTTCCCCGAAGCTCAATCGAGGGAGGAACGAGGAATTACCTGGTAGTGGTCCGAGCTAGTCACTAGTTCGATATTGATCCACGTGGCGCGAAGGCTTCTCGAGATTCAATTATCTCTCCGGTGTTCCCAATCAGGACATCCTGATGAAATATGTCTCTTGATTATTATTCTTTGCAAAGAGAAGTGAATGTCTTCGCGTCTCGCGACGGACGAGTTGGCCGCTAGGAATCATTGCACGGCATTTCTCCCTTGAGCCGGGATATCTTCTAATCGGATGAGTGCTCACAAAAGGAACAGAACCCCACCCGTCCGAGATGAGACGAATGCCTAAAGTCAAACAAAGTACGTCCCATGGGAGTTATCTGCTGGAAATCCCTCCAGTGTAACGGCCACTCCGCAGAACGGTCGCCATCGACGCGCTGCGTCTCGTTACCCAATGATATTATACTAGCGGTTCTGCTTGAAAAATCGCTCGACCGATTTCTCACGCAGTTCCCTTATGAGGCCGTATGTATATCATGATTGAGATGTCTCAACGATAGGCTCTGTCTGCAGGAGTTGAATCGAGGGCCACGGTGGCGTGAAGGTCGGCTAGCATACTTTCCCAGCGGGAAGAAGAAAACGAATCTTACGGAGGAACCTTCAGATGTACAGAAACAATCGAAAACAAACCAGAGTCCCTGTGAACGTCTATCTCAGCTCCCTTTCCGTAGTCGAACTAGTCGAACGCAGCGTTGCTCTGACCCTACATTGAGATAAGAGGCCTAAATAGATCCGAAAGAATTTACCCAGTTCAGGGAGGTGGGACACGCCCAATCGCCGGACTCGGTCAGGGTACCTCGTCGTTTTCGACCAAGTTAGCACCGGGGAACTTGTGGGAATGATGTATTCCAGTTGTTCCCACTCTCGGAAGAGAGATATGAATTCGGAGTCATTCGCAATCCGCGAGCGCGCACGACTCGTCAGTTTCCAGACGACGTCACATCGGGGCATGGCGGGACCTTGATTGTTCGACCGCGTCGGTCGAGTGTTTTTTTCTCCGTTATTTGGCTGGTGGCCGGCAACGTGCATCGCATGGCAGTTCCTCGGAAAGGTCATCCGGTTGTCGAGTAGCTCCTAGGGACCGATTGCGAACTTCGTTTCGGAGAGTTGTCGTTTCGCTCAGGTGCCGCCGCTCCAGCTGCGGGCGAAGTTGCAGAAGAGCGAAAAGGGAAGAAACTATGTTGTGCCGACAGGCTATCCGGCTCCGGATTGAGAGTTCTGCTTTCACGTCCTTTCTCATGATACGAAGAAGAAATGCCTGCCTGGGCGAAGGGTTTCCGACTCGTTTTGTTGGCGCTGATTCCGAGCCTTCGAGTCGGGTAATCGCGCCGGAGTGGAAATTTTTCTCATTTCGGTCTTGAGTATACTCTGCTTTCGAAGCGATGGGACCGTATTTTGGCAGCTTCCTCGAGATGACCGCAATCTCGGCAGCAGCGGTTCCTTCTGCTCCCACTCTGAGATCTGTTCTCAAACGGTCAGCTGTAAAAAAAACCTCTCTATTGCCATCGACCAGTAGTGAACCCACATCCTCCGTCTTAGGTCATGAATCTTCTACTATCCTTGTTCTCTGTTTCTCACCCACACTGATTTTACAACGGAATGAAACGAACCGTATGGGAAAGAAGTTAACTTCTTCCTCTCAGACCCTAAAACATCAGACAAGGTCTACCGAGAGAACTCTGTCTTATAAGGCGTTATGCTCCCCCAAGCGTTCTTCTCGTGTCTGTTATCGAACCCGAATCCAGAGGAACTCTTTTTCTACTCTGACCCAGACGTCGAGCTCGATATGTGCTCGCATCCATGATTCGCGACGGAACGACGATTTGAAAAAGTAAAAGAAGAAGCAAGTCCATTGCTTGACCCGTGATTATGAGCGTCATGATGCCTCTGACACATTCCGGCTGTTTCTCCCCGCCTGAAGCGTCAGACTTCTGTTGTGAAGTCAGCGGAGCATCTGTCGTTCCCAGCAGTACTGCTAGCGCTTCCATTGTCCCGAGGGCTTTCCCGAAACGCTTTGACGTCACGTTCGCTCCGGCGTCCCGGTGTGCACAGCGTTAAATTTCTCTTGGTGTATTCCGGTGGTTCCTTTTCTCAGCTTTCCTTGTCTTTGGGAATCATGGAGTGAATGTGGTTGAGGAAGTCAAGTGATCTCGACGCCCGAAACGGAATGGTTATTCGTACAGATCGAACAACGAGGACCTCTGTTTATGAAAACCAAAAAATCTATATCACCGCGTTCCGAGAAAGACTCACCGCGATCGATGAAGTGAACCCGACCGTTATCTTTAAAATTAGGCAACGAACGTACCACCGCTTGATTATGCGGCGGGTGTCGGCGCGGTTCCTGCCGGATTCTCAGCAAACCTGAATATCACAATCATTGAGAAACTTAGCACCGCTTTCTCCGAATGCGGAGCGATAATTATAGAGCTGCGAGCAATCATATGTTCCATAGAGCAAGAGTCAATTATTATCAGAGGATTATTTCACCCCATCCTCCCGAGCGCCCCCCGCCAGAGGGTCGGGATGCCTTTTCATCAGCTGATTTCTTCCCTTGATCGCGCCCCATTGAAGAAAACAGCCAGAGACGTAGGTGTCGAACCGAGCCGCAAGTTTCATGCGCAATCGGAAAATCTTCCGAGGGAATATATTCATGCAAGAATAAGGCTCAATGGACGAGAAAATCAACATCGAAGTTTATAAGTGCGCATTCCGTTGGTTTTTGCAAACTTACGGCGATCGACTCCAAGGATCGCTACGGCGCGGCGATCCTATCACTATCAGCAGGTGCCTGTGCGGCTATTTTTGAGCCGCGTTTTTTTGAATGGCCATAAATGGTTACATCAGTCAGTCAGTCAGTCCGTTCGTCCGTCAGTTAGTCCATGGTTGCAGTGAAGAATTGCTGCAATACATGACGCGCTGTTCGGAACCAGCGCCGTTCGATACTGCCCCTCTGTCGACGAAATGTCGTCACGTAGTACCGCAGTGAATTCGCATTGCCCGTCACCCCGTGCCTTTTAGCTCAGCGGCTCGACGGACGAGTCGTCACACTTCATACAAAAGGCAGGTCGCGGGGAATAATGTTCCTCGGGTCCGGCGCTGCGGGAGCAGATTCTCTGATTCGGCTTTTCGGTCAATCGTAGTAAGCTGCTCTGAGCCATCGGAATCGTCGACTACGACAGCCACACAGCGCGGTCAGGTTTGTTCCCATCTTCCGCGGCAGCGGCGCCACTGCAGCAAGCCCGGGGCCAGAAAACCGAAAATCCGGAAGCCCGGAGAAGAATGTTCTGCCACGGGTGTTAAACGCTGGAGTCTCGTAAAACGTCAATGCGAATGAAACGGGAACAATGTCGGTATAAAATTAAGCGTAGGCTACCGGAGGAGGGAAAAAACTTGTGGCTCATCTCAATATAGCGATCTGGCCATTCGACGTCTCGAGCAGACCCACCGACAGAGAAACGATGCCCCGGATTCGAAATTGCAAAGTTAACCCGCGAGCTTCCGACGAGCGGATAGATGGATGGATAGATAGATGGACGAACAGACGGGCCGGCGAATTCCCGAGCAGCGAGCCAAGCGTTCGGAACCCGACGCCAGAAGCGAACGCGAAACCACTGTTCGTGGATGCGATGAATGATTAAGCGGGCAAATGAACAGACCGAGAAATACTGACGTGGAAGTCTGAAACAGCCCCGCGCTGCTTAGGCGACGGTCAAATCAACAGCGGTCTTCCAGTTCACCGCTATTCGCCATTTTCTTCCGAGATATTCCCTGGAGCCACCAACAGGGAGATAGAATTCCTGATTCGACTGTTAGGCTGTTTCGAGTAGGTCGGAAAATCCCACAGACTTCGTCAAATATTTAGTTTCCCTTCCGAGGAGAGTATCGGGTATTTCTTCGGAGGAAGTAATTGATTTCGAACCAGTCTTTCGATCAAACCGAGCGGATTCAAAGACCGGCGGAGGGTGAGGCATCAATAATTTGCCCGAGAAATCCTCCACGGAAACGAAGTCTTCGCCTCCGCCGTTCCCTGTCTGAGCAGCAGGCTCGAGTGTATTCTGTCTATCATCTTATGCGGCAATCTCTTGAAAGCATCTCTCGCAGAGACAGAGCTCGTCTCGAATTTCGAATCTTTGCTCAGCCGCGATCTATTCCCTGTAAGCGTGTCTCTGTCGGTACTGATGGCGGTCAACGTTCAAGCCATCAGACTGATGAGTAGGAAAACGTCAATGGCCTGCATCATTGAATCAATGCGCGCTGCGAGCCGAGCCAGCATTCCGTCTGCGCTCACTTCAGCGAAGATTTCTGAGCGTCAATAATAACGACACGTCGCAACATTCTGAAGACGGTAGAAGCAGCAAAAGAGACAGCCGCCGCTTCCTGATATGATTGCCGAAATGGGTCAATGCGTACCTGAGCTCCCGGAGCGCTGGAATCCACCTGGAAGACAAGGTCGATTTGGAGGAATTATCAATTCTGCGAAATGCGTCAAAAAGTATCGGGGAAATGCTCCATTCTAGGGCACAATATGTTGGCTCGAGTATATCTGAGAAGGAAACAATTCCGGGGAAAACGCTGAAACGAGTTCCTCTTTCTCGTTCCAGTTACGGACTCCTCGGACCGAGCGGATGTGGAAAAACAACACTGCTGCGATGCATCGTGGGCCGCAAAGAACCCACTGGGGGAATGGTTCGAGTTTTCGACCAGGTCCCCGGCACGCCGGGAGCATTCATTCCGGGCCCAGGAGTCGGTTACATGCCACAGGAACTCACTTTGTATCCGGAGTTCACGATTTACGAAACGCTACTCTTCTTCGGGAAACTCTTCGGATTGTCCGAGAGCCTCCTCAATGGTAAATATTCTGGGTTTCTGGGTATTTGGAGTTTCTGAACGATTGTACTGCAGGAGTTTGCGGCGCCGCGCCGTGGAAAAAGTCCAGTACGGAGTCACAAGTTTCATGCGATTTATCCAAGGGAACAACCGAGTTCGGATGAGACCTCGATACAGTTCTTTCCCGCCTCGTAAATCTTGAGAAAGCTTCGAAGCTTCCCGATAGGAAAGTCGTTCCATGAAGATATGAACGAAATCGAATCGCTAGCTTAGAATCCGCCTTCCATCAAGGGGATGCGTCTCCTGTAACTATCTCCGGAGCGATCGATTTTTCTTCTCTTTCGCCGCGGACTCTCTCAATTGATGCTTTACGACTGTAAGAGCAACAGAGTTTTTGACACCGCGAGCGTACTTCAGATCGAGGCGATTTCATAGTGCATCCGAACGTTTCGTCCCAATCGATGGACTCCGACTTTGTCCGGGACGATAATTTCTCCCGGAGAAATACTGATTTATATGAACAGCAATCCAAACGACAATCCTGAGCGTATTGGCGCAGATAAGCGAAGTCTAATGCCATGTATGTGTGTGTCTTCCAGAGCGTATCCAGTTTCTCTTGAAGTTCCTGGACCTCCCGGACAAGAGGCGTCTGGTGAAGAATCTCTCCGGGGGTCAACAGAGACGAGTATCCCTCGCGGCTGCTTTAATCCATAAGCCGCCTCTCTTGATCCTCGACGAGCCTACAGTCGGCGTGGACCCGCTGCTCCGACAGGCGTAAGTTTCATCGAACTGTCATTGAATCAGCGCCGCTTTCCAGGTCGTGGCCGATCCCTTCGTCGGTGTTGATGCTTTCGTTTCGCTTCCGAAAGAGAAAGCGTCAACATCGTTCACGCCTTTATTGGAATCAGTCACGAAGACTGTTGCAGCGCTTGTTTCCGCCGTAGTCGGAATGGCTACAATAACTTGCGCCCATCGTATCCGGGGCAATTGCCGATCGGAACCAGCTCGATGCTCATTATTCCTTATCTCTCCTCCGAAAGACATTCTTGATACTTCCCGGGACGATATCATGGTTTCCTTCGTTCGTCCGCTCGACGTCCATATCCTTCGAGACTGCATGCGGAAAAATTTTTTGAATCATGCCTCGAACTCATTCCGTACGTTTGCAGAATCTGGAATTATCTCGTGACACTCACCCGCGAACAGGGGATGACCGTCATTGTCACGACTCATTACATCGAAGAAGCCCGTCAGGCCAACATTGTGGGTCTCATGAGGTCCGGTCGAATGCTCGCCCAGGATTCACCCGAGCGACTCCTCGAGGACTTCAATTGCGAAACTCTGGAAGACGTATTCCTGCAGCTGTGTCTTGCGGATAAGGAAGGACGGGCGATCGTAAAGCACAAGAAGATGCTCGAGGTGGTCAGCGAGAAAGCGAAGGATAACAACACCGCCACCGTGGAACACGAGAAAGAAGTGAGTGTCCGACCCGACCGACATCGATTTTCTATCACCGGGCACCAGCTCGTTCCACGAGAAACCGGCGGGTCCACTTACGCTCTCGTATTTTCCAGAAAGCTCCAATATACGAAATTCCGCCAGAAGTGAAGCACACCCTCCCGCCCAGGAAACCTCACAGCGGATTCAACACGAACACGCAGCGGCATGAAACAACCTGGGAGGCTCTGTGTCGAGCGTTCGCACTCGTGATGAAGAACGTCACTAGACTCAAAAGAAATTATCCATTCCTCTTATTCACCTTCATCGTACCATCGTTCCAAGTCGTTCTCTTCTGCATCTGCATCGGAGCCGACCCCTATGAGTTGCCGGTGGCCGTAGTGAACTCGGACGTGCATCCAATCCTTTCGCAACCCTTCCTCGAAAGCATCTCCAACCACACGATTGTTCAACGACCTTACTCCGATCTTGATCTAGCGCTTGCCAGTGTGGAACGCGGCGAAACGTGGGGCGTCATAAACATAGGGCATAATTACTCAACGGCTTTGCAATACCGATTCATACTCGGAATCGACGCCGACAACGAGACCATCGAAGAATCAACGATCGATATCTACATGGACATGACCAACCAGCAGATCGGCTTCATTCTTCAGAAGACAATCTTCGAGTCTTTCATCGTAAGCATTTCACTCCTTTCGCTTCCACAAGGATTCCTCAATCGGACGCTTATTCATCGAGAGGTGCCTGTCCGAGCCATTTGGTCTCAGCTGGTCATTCGTTCCTGGTGGGGGGGAATTATCCCAGATCCCTGTTAGGAGGAGAAGCTATTTTTCCGGATTCCGAGGTGTTCGAGATTGTTCGAACTTCGATGCCGGCCAGCCTCTATTTGAGCCACGGCTCTCTATGGGCTTACGCTCATATTTTCGGCCCCAAGCTAGCGTACGGCCGCCCGCGAAGATCTCAAGGCGGGAGCGTGACAACACTCCACCCGGCTGCTACTTTGCTTGATTAGAGGTCGTCGCGGATCAGCACGCCTGGCTTCAGGCGGTGCTCCTCTTGCCGGAGCTTGACTGAATCGATCGCCCATGTCCTCCCAGACGCCCGAACGAACTCATTGACCGAGGGAGCAATCAACAGCAGCCTCTAGTCTTTCGGTCAAAGCTGAGATCTCCATCCGACGTCCGTCGGTTGCCAGCCTTGAGCCCCTTCTCGGCCGTAATATTCAAGATAAAGAATCCGATTTCCTTCCATCGAGCATCGTTCTTATCGCTGCTCCTATGGATGGGCATCCCCCATATGGCCGACTCGTATATCTCAATGAGGTCTCGCTCGGTTTTAGCTCCGCTGCCGAGTGGGTGTTTCGAAAATCGAGCGAGAGGGCCAGTTCCTCGCTCGAGAGCAAACGACACGAAAATTATCGAGTTCCGTGGGGGTCGTGGCGTTGTGGTGTGGGAGCGTCGTACCCCGAATGCATGGAGTCTTCAACGAGAGAGAAATCATCGCTATCGATGGGAACTCACTCCGATACAGTTCCCTGGCTTGGAGATCAATTATCGGGGGACTTGTGGGGACGAACTCGAGTTTTTTTTTCCTGTTCCCAATCGAATCGTGCCATATGTCTACCGCGGGAGGAATGCCTCCGCGGTAGAACTGGGAACCTGCTCCGTGCAGTGCTTGTTCTTGCCTCTCCGACTCGGAACCCTCGTGGAGCACGAGTACGGATAATCCCTCTCCAACTGAGTTGCTCGAGGCTATTCGTGCAGCACTTCCGAGTACGGGATGATTTTTCTGCTATCTCCGGATATGAGTACAGGGGACAGAAGCGCTTTTTGGGTTTGCTCGCTATTATCTCGATTCGCGGCCGTTGTGCCGGCAGGCAGGCACGCAGAGGGGGAGACGTGGCACACAGGCAGGTGGTTCGTTCACAATACTGTGAGCTCGACGACGGATCCCCCACGTTAGACTGAATGGAACCTCGGCGAAACCGTTTCCCGAAGGGGAAAAGGAACAGAAAAGAGCGCGCCATCGAAGACGAGTACATAATCATATGCTAGCCCCCTCACGCAATACCGGGCATCTCATCTGAGCGCTCGGAGCTCCGCGTATGGCGGTGCAAGACTTTCGCGAGACTTGACGTTGTACAATATAATCGAAGATTCTTGACTTAACGAGAAATGCTACGAGGAGTCTATGTATACTGAATGTTGAAACGAGTCTCACTCACGAGTTTTTCTCGTCGGATTTCAGACGTTCTGCGAGAATCTCCTGGTCAAAATGAACAGAAACGTAGCTCTGGCGCAACTCCCGGTCCGAGTCAGGGAACCTGTCTACGGAAATGGAAAACCAAGCTTCACCGAATTCATGGCGCCCGGAATCATCCTCTCGATCACCTACATCATGGCCGTGGCTCTCACAGCAATTTCGATCATCATGGAAACTCGTGAAGGCACCATGGAGCGCTGTTGGGTGGCCGGCGTGAAACCTTTCGAAGTCATCGTCTCCCACGTGTTCTCTCAGTTTATCGTCATGTGCGTTCAAGTGGCCCTGCTGCTTGCGTTCATTTTCATCCTTTTCTCCATCCCACTCGAGGGATCCTTGATTCTCGTCATACTCCTGACTCTCCTGCAAGGTCTCAGCGGGATGACCTACGGACTCGTAATTTCATCCATTTGCGCCGAAGAGCAGTCTGCCATGATGTTGGCACTAGGCACGTTCTATCCGAACCTGCTCTTGAGCGGTAAGTGGAAGCCAAGAGCTAGTACTTCTACATAGAAGCATGGAATTGAGGCGTTGCATCCTGACGATCTAATTTCGTCATTCATGTTCAACATTCCTCGCATCGAATACATTCGTCGTATAACGCGGGAAAACATGAGCTCAGGAATGAGTAGTGGGCAATGACCGATGACTCATACATGGCGCTCGAGTGTGGGCGCATCGATCTCTCAAATCGAAACTTCAATTTGCAGGAATAATTTGGCCGATCCAATCGATGCCCAAGATCGTTCGCTACATCGCCTACGGACTCCCTCAGACTTTCCCCACCGAATCGCTTCGTTGTATCATGTATCGCGGCTGGGGCATTGACAAATACGAGGTATGGATCGGGTTTGTCGTATCTATCGGCTGGTCAGTTTTCTTCCTGCTCTTCGCCACCGCCGCCTTCAAAGCTAGGAGCTGAGCAGAATCGAAGGACCCTACTCGTTTGCCTTAATAAACATAAATAACTTAATAGTTCCCGAACGAAACGGCAGAGTTCATTTCAATCCTAAGTCACGGCAAGAGGGCGTTGTCGAGAGGTGTACATGAGCTCACTTTTCTGCGGTTTGCGATCAACAACATGCATAGATAAACAGAAAGTTTTGTACTTTGTTCTACTAAAATAAGGGGGGGGACGAGGGAGAGAGGGAAGGGGAGAGTGGAGCTGGTTATGGAAAAATGTGCGATCCATCCGAGCGTTCGATCCAAGGGAAGACGGAAACACAGAATTTGTTCGTATCGATACGCAATTTCGGCAACGGACTCAAAGTTGCTCACGTGTTAAAAACTCACTCTACTGTAACCCTAGACTAAAATCGGGGCAGAACGACATTCGGAAGGGAAAAAACTCAAACTGGATGAATATACGAGGAGAATGATGTATTCGAGTAATGCGGAATGTTGAGATAGCTATTGCATTGAATAAACAAAAATCATAGGTGATGAAGGGTAATGCAATTCTTGATTATATGGTATCGTCTCGTCGGTCATCGAGCTTCAGGGAGAATTTTTCGGTGGATCCCGACCGAGCTGAGCACCGGCGCCGTCCAAAAGTCTCTCGAAACTCCGAGCGGGTGAAGCTCCCTGCGAGCAAGTCGAGCGTCGGAGTAGGGAAGGCTATCGGAGGGTAGGCTCCGGCGGGCATTGAAATCTGTAGCTCCGGGATACCTTCGAAGCGGACTGAGCAGCTTGCCAACTCAAGTTGACTGGTCACAGACTATCTGCTCGTTTATCCTAAAGCGTCTGTATCCGTCAATCCGTCGTGTAATTCCAGAGCTGCCAGCGGTGATCACAAGCAGAACCGTTGTGGGTAATGAGGTGTACCTCGAGAGCCCGCGTTCCCAGCTTGGCCGCGAACCGACCCCGTCTTTCCTCCGAGAGTTCCGTTTTCTCGTCTACTCCCGAAGCCGGCCACCGCCTCGTCGATCCCTCACTTCGAACAGTGGCGCGAAACCAGGTCCACTCCCTCCCCACCTAACCAGCGAGACCACGAAGTCGGCCCTCTAATAAAAAGTTGCCTCGCGCCCTCTATAGGAGCCGGTCTCGCTAGAGCTAGGAGGCTCACCAAGCAACCTACCAAGCAAGCGAGCGACCGACCAACCAACCCAGAAGCAAACACACACAGACTCAGAGCCCAGACGAGACGAACGTCAAACTTTTTGTTCGCTCGTTTTTCCTGCTCTGGAAGCGGCGGTCTTTGTTTTGAGATTTGCTGTCAATACAATCGTGCCGCGCCATTGACTGTTTTAGCGTACACAGAGGAGACGCGCAATGCTAATGTGCCGGTCTCTCTCGGCCCGTGTTTGAAGCACTGTATCAACACCGTTCGAGCTCGGTGCATGGAGCGGAGAATCTCATTCAGCTCTTCTCCGAGCACGAACAATGAGCATCAATCACTAATTTCACTTCGGGACCGAGGATTCGCGATGCAGTCTCGTAAATAAAAAAAAACCGTCTCATTCAAAATTAAACACTTTTGTATCTATGGCGGGAGCGACAGCATTCTGTGACACTTGTCGATCCATGGATCGTCTGCGACACGGCGACGGCGTAGATGTTGATACAAGCCAGCGTAGAACTTGGGTTTCTAATCGGGTGGAGTAGGCCGGAGGAGCGAGCGCCCAGCAAACCACGCCTAGTTGCAAATATAGTAAAAACTTGAACCCAAAGCCAGTTGCCAGGGGAATGGTTATGGTTTTTGTTGAGACGCAACAATCTCCGTCACCCGAGCTTTCAGCGAAATCGAGGCCACCCATCTCTGTTGAGGATCCAGGATTTCAGCGACTCGATGCGGTAGCCGCAGCTCCGGCGGATATAATGGACATCGTGCCGGGAAACGTTGACATCCTCGCTTTTCTCCCGGATCGCGTGCGGAGAAGAATGATTCCATCTCTCGAAGAAAGCAAGTAAGGGAATCGGCAGCATTCCCGTGCTTCCTCGAGGGACTGTTAAGCTCGCGAAGTCGTAATTTACCGACTCTCTTCCCACCGTCTCGTTTTCTTGCGTCCTGCTTTCTTATTTCCCCCGGTCCCACGCCATAGCTCCCCATCGCCCGATCGCCGCCTCTCTCGTAGTACCTACAGTTCTCTGACGTGATCAGAATGCGGGACCGCGCATGGAACCGGAACCGAAATCGGAAATCCGGATCAAACGGGGAAGAAACGAAACGTTCTCCAAATGGTTGCCCCTCTCCTTTTCGCTTTGTGACGGTCAGATCATTCGGTGGCCCCAATAAAATGGGAAGTTGAAGCTCCCCCGAGAAAACGGGTGGTTGCTAACTTTCTGAGGAGTCTAGGAATCGACGCGAGATTGCGTCCGACGAGGAGAGCTGTCTCGAGCTCGCTCCAATGAGCGATCCTTAGACTCTTCCCCTCGAGTCATCAACGAATGATTTTTCCGAAGGGAATCTGCACGAGCGCGCGATATCAGAAGCTGCCCCTCATCGCACGGAGCGTCCCTGTTATCAGTAGATCGTTGACAGTTGAGAGCTCGACAGTTCGAGCAATTGGACGCTTATCTGAGCTCTCGAATCGCCGTCGATGTGAAAAAAAATGATGTCCGAGTATTTTCGGTCTGTTCATCAGGAGCTCGGTATTATATCATACCGGAATGATGTGACCGGTCGTCAGTTTCATTTCGCTTCGGCTGCGCTAAGTGACTGGACGGCCGGGTCGTCACCGTCAGGAGAACGACCGTCTGCCTAACGATCGCCATGAGGGTCTATGTGACCACAAACGCTACCATTGCCACCCCACCTTCCATTACGAGGACGCTTTGCTTCTTCAGTGTCGCATTCTCATTTCGTCGGTAATCCCGAACGAGGGGACCACGGCTCCGCGATCGGTCGAGAGAGGAGCTCCTGTACTGTCGATTCGAATTTCTTCGATGGCGTCATCGCCTGAAAACTGATGCCCGCGGCGCTTCCAACACAGATGACAATCCTGTCGCAGCCGATTCGTGTCGGCTGCTATTTACGCCAGTCGGAGCAGCTGCCTATTTGGAAAACTCGCGGAGAGGGGCGGTCGAAACATTCTGAAGGCTTGAGGATTATCCTTCCAGAGGGGAGGACTATAAGGATCGTATGTTTTGTCCGAGAAGCGAGTGCCCGATACTTCGCGCTTCCCTATTGGCCTAGATTGTTCTTGCTCCTCCATCTTCTCGGCAATACACTCCATTATTGATGCCTTCTCTTACCCGTGATCATTCCGAGTGCATAGCCTACGGATATCCTTGACCTCGGTTCTGGAAAGTGCTATTTTGCTGATTCAGAAACGAGGTATGGAGGACGAGTATATGTCGAGGACGAGGTATGGGAAGCCTCAGGGAAAATGACTCTTGGACAGGGTCGGCTCCTTTTCCTATGGACAGAGACGAAAGGGGATGGGAAGAGAAATTCAGACGCAAACCTGGAACGTGCGGAGCTGGTGAGTCTGAGAGAGGTCTCAACTTGTCTCGAAGCAGCGCTGGAGCGGGGTCTCATTCGGTCGGGGGGGGGGGGAGGAAAGTGTCAGTCGAAGGGAGAATTTGGAAGTCACTTAAGTCTATGGATATTATGTGGGAAAGAAGGAAGTCCAAGTAAAAACGAGGGGATAGAAGGCCGGGCGGAGGGAGAAGAGAACGAAGAGGGAGAGACGAGAGCGAGGACTTCGACGATGAGGAAAAAAGTCCCGGGTAGACTCCGGAGCTGCCTTGCCAGTCCGGATCTGGTCGAATCGGTTTGGGCGTCAGCTCAGCACTTTTCATGGCCGACTGCATACAAAGAAAGAAGAAACGACCGGGGGAAATGGAAGCGAACGCGGACTTCACCCCGAGCAACAGAAACATCGTGCCACCAACACGACACCGAGTCGACTCGCGGCGCGTTTCCTCGATCGAGAGATTGCAATTACAGGAAAATGCGAAAGAGTCGGGAAAATATCCTGTGCTTCGCCGAGAGATCTGGTTTCACGTACGAGGAGGTTCACATTCCCCCTAACGAGTCGAGAGCAGCTTTGGTATTTTTTTCGGTCTGATTGAGAGCCAGAGGACAGGCTTCCAGCTCCGATGCTGCCTACCACATACGCGAAGCTCCTCTGAAACATCGTCTATTGACGTGACAGTTGTCACGAATTCGCGCCGTGTATTTAAAGAAACTTGGGAAGCTCGCTCATCGATCCGACCATCGATTTGTTTCTCGACGTACGCGGGCGAGTTCCTTTTCGAGCGCGATGAGATCTTCCACCTTGCTCCCTTAATTCTGCGCGGCTCGGGTCAGGCCTTCGTATTCCCCACCTCACTTTCATCGATCCCCGGGCTCCTCGTTTCTCCGAAACCGACGTCCCAATGACCTGTCTTCGTCACCCAACGAGGCTTCAGTCATACGAAGCAGGCTTTGCGGACCGTCTCGAAAGAATCGGGAGCTTCTGGGGTGACTAGCCCAACCACCGAGCAATTTCCTTGCTAGTTCAGCGCCCAATGGTCGGTATGAGAATTTTCTTGATACAAAAGAATCTACATCTTTGAATTAGCACCAGATCTTGGGATTTTGACGCGAAACGAGTGCTCCCCCCTAGGGCAGAAATGACGGAGCGGAATTCCCCGATTATTCCCCGCGAATTCTGGGACAAGAAAAAAATTATAATCACTACCCTCTGCTCGACGCCGGCAGCACTCGTGGGATGGCCTGAGACGGATACAAGCTAAAGATGGAGAATATTCTCCGGAATGGAAGATAGGCTTTCGTATGTTTCATGCGATGATTGAGAGTTCGCCTGCTTGCCGATTCGTCGCCAGACCATGGAACGTAAAGGGCATCTTGCTGTCCTAAGCGTGTAGTCGTCGCTTATGTTCGGCCTTTAACATTAGGCTTCTTGGTGGGCGATCCTTGTAGCCCGAACGGGCAGCTGGACGGACGAGCCTAGCGCTTTTTCGTAGGCTCACGTAATCCCCGCAGCACTGATGTCGCCAATAAATTGTGAGGTTATCTTCAGCCAGATTCCGTTTGCTTTCCCTGGAGACTCGTCCGAGAAATGAATGGGGGCTCGCCAAATGCGGACAAATGCCTTCGATCTGGCAACAACCTTCCGATCCAGCCTTGGGATCTTGGAAAGTTCTCGAGGCTCCGCGCACAGTGCCGTCGCTGATGATTATTGCTGCCTACGCGTCATGACGTTCGAGACTTCCCTCCTCCGAACGAACACGTGGTACATTCCGAAAACGTTCCACCGTAGGAAATGTCCAACGTTTTTTCCTGTGGTCCGAGTTCTCCATACGGTCTGATTTGAATTCGAGTCGGTGCCTGAGGGGAAAGCGGCGCGCCCCAAGATGAAGGATTGCGCTCGGTCTCGATGCGCGTCGTTGCGTCCCACGCCGGATTTTCCATCTGGAATCCCCGCAAGCGTTCACTTGCCTATTCCGCTTAGAGCTGTCATTTTTCTTTTGCCACACGGAAACCAGGTGAGCCGAGTCAGCCATCAAGCCCACTAGGAGAACGGGCAGGCGGTCGAGGGGGAGCCTCCCTCTCCGGGGGCCCTGGGGGGAGGGGAGCCGATCTACCGGCCGATCGACCGCTCGATTGACCGACCGACCGACAGACGGACGTTCGAGAGAAGGGGTGACATCTCCCTTACATGAAGAAGCCGGGACTGTGTGTTTCAAGGGAGGTGGAGGAAGGACTGAGGACCGGGCTATGGTCGTCGAGGAGCATGGCGACGCATGCGCACTAGCTCGGGGGCCCTTTCTCCGAGCCGGAGCACAGTTGAGCGCGGGCCTTCGTGGGCAGCGGAGCTCGGAACCCCAGTGCGCCTCCGTGTGGAGTCAGTATGCTCGCTCTCGCAATGTGCAGCGAGAATGTCAACATGTGTTGAACGACAGAGTGCCGCGCGGCTCCGGTGATTTCTCGGAATCCCCGTCGCCTACCGGGTTAAGCCTCTTTTGTGGTTGTGAGTTCCGCCGTTTGTTGTTTACGAACACTTCGGAAGTGGATATTATTATTGGTGCCGAACACCGGAGATATCATCAACATGGATTCGTCACCAACGTCAACTATGGGATGCTTCGGATGCTTCCGCAAAGTCAATCAGGTCTGTACGGATCGTTGAATGTAGCTGTCATGGGCCGGGTGCGATGTTGGAGCTCTCACCTGTTGACGTTTGGACGGAGACCCGGGTCGGCTCGACATCGGAACGCTCCAGACTTTGAGATTACCTATCTAAGCTCGGCCCATGCCTACATGAAAGTCACAGGAAGGAGGAAAGACCGCGAGTATCACCAATGTGCTGTCAAACTTCGACTGCTTCCCTCCGGGATCCAAGGAAGGATGACAGTCGACTATAAAAGCGGACGCACGGTGGAATGAAACTACTCTTTACTCTCGGTCTGTGTCAAGGTCGGTCGTCAAGACTGGGTCCGTCCTGTTCTCGTTCGAGAAAACTCTTTGAAGACTCATAGAGCCCTTCCCTGCATCCTTCCGATAAGGAGGAAGAACCACCTCTGACTTTTAAAGCCAAATGAACCGCAAAAGCTCTGCCTCAAAAAGCAGCGGAAGACATCGACGGCTGGTGTCCCTCTCCGAGGTTGTAATCTCCACAGCTCGAGCTGGGGCGAACTCGGGGAACAACGTATGCCTAACTGCGGCCCTCTAACAAGAGAATTAGCTTGAACTCCCGCGAGACCTGAATTGTCCCAGTTTCGGAAACGGAGACGAAAAAGGAACTCTCTTTCTAATGATCGATCGATGGAGTCGATAGAATAACATCTCCGCTGCGAAAGGTGAAACCTCGCGGATGCTCCTCGTGGTCACGTCCGAAAGCGAGAAATCGTCTCATCGCCCGGCGTATAGATTTTCCCCGCGCGTGCGGATTCCTAGATGCAGACACCTCGGAAGCGAAACTATGTTTGCGAGCTCGCTCAGATGGAGAGAAGCATGTCATCAAGTCCGAAAGTGTTGTCAAAGGCTTCAGTGGATTACTCTATGGGGGAGAAACCAGACGCAGAGATCCCATCCTCAACGCGGTAAATTGCAAACGATAGCTCCATGTTTGAGAGGATGAATAGAACCCAAAACAACATTCTTGTGACGACGCGACGCCGCCGTGGATGTCTTTGTAGAGAAAATGGGGTCGCTTCCAACATCCGCCTCGGTGGCCTATAGAGGACTCTCAAAGCCAGGGGCTCTCTCCGCTTCTCTGTGGAGTTCATCATGACGATTCGGTCTCTGAGTAGGGACATGTACTTCTCTAGTCGTGATGGACGCGTAGGAAGGTACGGAGGAAAATGGCGGAGAAATCGGCAACTCGACAAAGACCATATGAGATCGAATCTCCCGGGTGCCCGGGGGGAAAGCGGCACGCCCCAAGACTCCCACCAACGGGGAGCTGCAGATCCTTGGCGTCTCGATCAAAGGCCTCTAATTCCCCCTTCTTCGGAGGAGTTTCTTTATTTTGACCGATGACCTCCTCTTTCGGAAGTTTGGGAGTCGACAGATTAACCTTCTGCGGTATCAGCGTTTTCGACTTTTCCGACGCAGCGGCAGCACAAGGGCCGCAGGAAGGAGCTCTCGGAAAATGGAGACCGGAACCATTTGTCTTCCGCTCGCAGTGAAATCGGAGAAATATTTCTTCTATGCGTTTTCATTCGTTTCGTTCCTGCGGCGGGCATCAGTCATCCCTATCTTCATACTGGTTGTGCGCGTCTCTCTCGCATGAAATCTTATTCACTTTCCTTCACTTCCAAGCGTAACAGACTTTTCGAAGGCGATGGATATTTGTTACAATGTGGTTTCCCTGGTGGATTTCCGCACTTGCCCCGCGCAGCGGGCTTTCTACCTCGTACCTCTGCCATCAGAGGGGATGACAAGTGTCCCTTCCCCTATAGGCGGAAGTTTTCCCCTCCGCGGACTGAATTGAATGCAGAGACGCGAGTCCCCACGCAACCACCTTGACGGCTCGCATACCGCTCGAGCTACCTAGCCTCAAATTTCGGCGACCCGCCGACGGCGAATCCACCGAACAGGCCGGAATCGGGGAGAGCGTGACAGATTCTTCTACTTTGTCACGCTTTCAGCTCGAGAAGCGCCGACCAACGACGAACGAAACTAAAATGCAATGCCGTAAATTCGACCATTCACGTGCTTCTGGCTCAACCGGCTCCGTTCCTCGGTAGCTCACCTCGTCTTCAAACAAGCCGCTCGATTCTTCTCGGGCGGAAATTGAAATTTATTCCTTGTGTCGTCATTTTGCTGCGCTGCCCTCGACTGTGGAGCTCGAGTTCCTGTCGTCAGTGTGTGTTCTGTGCGCCGGAGGACCGCTCGTTCGTCCGGTTGCTACTTTGGTTGTTACCACCGACGCACGGTTGCTCAGCAAGCCTCGTTGCTCGTCCTTTCAGAAAAAGCCCTCCGCGTTGATTGACAATTGAAGGATGGCCAGTCAGCTTTCGTCCCGTGTCTGGACTGTCCGTGCGTCCGTCGATCTCTCCCGCGTCCGAGACACTTGTGTGACAGAGTTGCCAGGAAGGCATGCGCGCTTGCCTCTATACGCTCTGAGTCTCTTTCAGACAGTTTGATGGGGCTTTATCATGCTCGTTCCCTGGAGACCGATCCTTCACTCAGACACTCGGGACGACGAGACAATGAATCGGATTTTCGAATCACGAATGTGATCATATCAGGAAAACTCGACATTGACAAGACACTCTGTCCTGAGAATAAGGCAATGGATTAGGGAAGGAAAACTCTCGGGTTCGACGTCTTCGGAGGTCAGGTACCGAAGCTCGGGCGGAAGGCGTGATCTGGTCCAGAGCGTATCCAGAAGTCTCCGATAATGTTCTTTGTGTGACGAATTTTCATGATGAACCTTGAAGGCTGCTGCGATAAGCATAGAATTGAGCTGAAAGTATCAAGAAGCCAGCCGGCGCTCTCTCTGCTGAGTTTGCGCTAAGATTTTCTTCATCCGAGACGTCGGTGAACGCGAGCTTCGTCGGAGCCAGGCAAGAGGAAAAAAAGAGCTCAAAAGACAAATGACCTTGGCCACAGGTGTCCCTAAAAGTCAGCAGAATTTCAGAGCCCTAAATCTGAGAGCGGATACAGAAACGGAGACCGAACTTTTCCACCAGGAAAGTTTCATGCCACATCTGAACGAATATCATTGACTCGTGCGTAAACAACCAGACGCAGCTGACGTGCCTCATTCCTCTCCCTTGCTATCGAGGGCAACGCACACCTTGTCTCTAGTCTCGTTGACGATTGAGTTTGCGGTATACGAGGCTTGGAATAGACGAACTGACGTCAACGCCTACAACCCTGCTTGTGAAATGATCCCGGAAGACTACCGATTTTTAAAGCGTTAGAGACGGAAAGAATCGGGGCTCTTCCGCCAGCATGCTGGGCGTTCTCGCGGTTTGCTATCCACACAGTCAGTCCCCTAGAACTCCGCGTTGGCGAGGTTAACTTGACGCGAAATAAGAATCAAGCTTACGAAAATTCAAGGTTCTGGCTATATTTCATCACAGACAGCTCAAAGCGCGGACAGGGGGCCCACCATTCACACAAAATGCCAACAGGAAATTTCTTGGTATATCTCGAGTGAGCTGTGGAATTTCCTCCTCTCGACCGGCAATCACGTTGGAAGCTGCGCAGTGAATAACCGCTGAAGAATCGCGTATCTGAACTATCGTCGGTCCAGACAGAGTAGGCAGCATTATGGAGGGAGCGAAGAGCATGCATACAAACCTAGCATAATTCCAGTGTTTTTCGACGGATTTCACTCTTCTACCTAAAATCTGGAGGCCGACCAAGTGAATGGAGCTGGCTGCTCGAGGCTCGGCTTCGATGTTAAGTGAGAACGACCTTTTTTATGGTCTTACCATTTCAGTGCACGCAGCCCTGAAGAAAGCAAGCGCGGCGTAAAAGAAGTGGTCTGCCTAGTTTATGGGCTTCGTTAACGTAACTCCGTCATCATTCGCTACGGCTGGCCTTGCGAGATGCTGACGAAAATGTATTGGAAGCAGAGCCTCGTCTTCATTAGGCGAGCCCTTAATTTTCCGCTTCCCCGGATCTACTTATTGACAGAAAGGTCCCTGTGGAAAACCTTCCTTATTCATCAACCTGAGTCAGGTCTACTGGTGTCACATCGGGTCCTGGCTCCTTCGAGAACCACTCGGTACTGGCAAGTGATGGACCTGCTAGCTGCCGGCTGCGTTATCGATTTCTGAATACGACTATGAAATGAAGGGAACAATCGATAGAGAATCCATTCCCATCCCCCGTTTGTTCTCGTCTTATTAAAAGGCTTCGCCCACGAGGCGAAGCGTCGTATGCTTAATATATTACGGGGTGAATTATTCCGCGTCATTAGCCAAATAAATGGCGCTAGCTGATATCAGCCTAACACCCCACCACTCTTCTGTTCTGCGAGCACCGCGCGGTTTGAATGTTCGTACTTTCCCCGTGCAAAGACCCGGAGTTCCAAAACTCCAGCGAAAGCCTATCCCATTCTTATTCCCACAATGGAACAAGCTTGGGGGTCGGCCAAATGGCTGGAGAGAAGGGGAAGTAGGTATCACAGTGCCATCTCACTTCTTCTGGAGGCTGCCCGTCAGAGTCCGAAAACTCCCTCCGACGACTCGGAGATTCCGCGTCCTCGCGCGGACCATTTGGCCGCTGCTGGCACGTTTCTGAATTCCCCGTGGAGGTATTCGTGTTAGCTTGTACCGAAAAAAAACTCATTCCCATTCGGGTCAGGTGGGCCGATGTGGTCAAGTGGGATTCGTTAGCGATAACGACGATCTTTAGACTCTGTTGGTCACTGGCAGATCGATTGCGACTCTATTTGAGTCCCTATCTCATTGTTTTGTTCAACAGCTGATCCAAATATAGCCCCCCGAGTTCGCACCTGCTCGAACTGCTGGATCACTTCTGCGAGGGCCGTGAGATTTTCACTCCGAACTCTCTCAGCGCGCTGGAGTACGTTGTTCGGTTGTTCAGCCCGACGAGACAAAAGCTCCAAATCGTGTCGTGTGCCGCGTCGACTTTTGCCCTGAGGAGAAGATCCGATGTTCTGAGACGCTTTTTCCTAGTATCAGATAT